TGCACTTTGGTTCCCAAAGTTGGGCTTGGGCCCCAATTATGGGTCATGAAGCACCTTGGATAATCTCCAGACATCAATTTAAAGGGTAATAAAATTAATGTTGATGTAATATTTTCCCTATAATTATTACAAAAACACAAAATAAGTATAAATAAGTATTTATATTTGTGTACAAGCTGTTTAGATTGTCAAAAACCCTGCGTTTTTAGGGTTATTAACAACGTTCATGTACTCAGACCAGTAATATTTGGGGTCGCAAGTTTTTGCCATGGATATTTTGTGGGTCAGAAGATAAAAAGTTTGGGAACCACTGCTTTATACAACACTGTGTTTAAGGCTTCTTTTCACAGACATAGCAGATTTTATTGACAGTGATTCACAACAACTAACAACAGCACAAATACTCACTATGGTATTGAAGGCTTCTTGCAGCTGCTGCTGTTGTAGGAGCAGACCGCAGGTCACACATTCCCCCTGACAGTCACAGCGTGCAGGGGTGAAGAGACATCCCATCAGAACCACCAGGCACCACAGAGAGATCTTCATCGCTCAGCACAGCCAGACGGGAAGGGACACACACGAGCCCAGCAGGTAGCGCAGTCAAAAACACACAAGCGTCTGGGGAGGGCAAACCTACGAGATCTGGCTCCAGCCTACAGGGAGAGAGCACACAAAGTGACAGCAACATTGCATCAATTCCCAAATTTCTGAGATAACTGGCTGGATTTGTGTGGTCAGTCAAAGCGTCGGTGGTGGAGGAGTGCTCAGCCAACACCAGGAGATGGATGGTGTAGGTGGAATTGATAGAGAGCATAACCCGAGGCAATAAATGGATAGAAAATTGGTATTTTTCAGTGGGCAGGGATGATCATCTGTTAGAGAACTGGTGCACAGATTAGACTTTTTCTTTCGAATGATGTTGGCGAGTTGTAACAGTTTATATTTGCCTGTAGAGTTTAGCTTTCAAATACATCATGGGTCGTACCCTGTGGCAGCGAGAATCCTTCACAGAACAATTTAATTGAACATAAAAGGACAGAGAAGAATAGGATTGAGACATTCGAGTTAAAAAATGATAAATTTGTCTTGAAGGAGAATAAGAGGAGAAATGAATAAATTCCACAGGACCTTTGCAATAAAATATGTGAACCAGGTGTGGTGTTTGTTATTTGACCTTCAATCTCTGAGCTACATTCATTCTATCACACACCACTATATCAGGTAATAACACAGAGATGACAAAGATAAAACACTCTCAGTGCAACAGATTGCCTAGGCTCAGAGGCTGTTTCCTCCGCAGAAACATTAGATTTCACCTGCAGCTCTGTGAGTCAAAAGTCTGTTAAATTGTAAAAAAAATAAAAATAAAAAAGAAAGAAAAAATCTAATTATCCTCAAAAATTTTCTCTTTCGTTTTGTGAACTTTTAATATTTTGATCTAAATAATTCAAGTCAATAAAATTACAGGTATCAGATTTTCTTTTTCTGAGCAGCAGCGACAAACAGTCCAACTAAATGTTACTGTGACTTGCTAATTTAGCCACTTATTAGATTTAAAGTTTAATTGTTCCAAAATTTTAAGTGTTTATGTCCACACTACCAAAATYAAGCAGTGTTTACTTTATGTTCAGTTGTAGGTGTTACAGTTTTGCTCTTGATGAGATACATGAAAAATGTACTTAAGTACAGCAGCAAAGTACTTGTACTTAGTTACATTCCACCGCTGCAAGTAGGACACAGCTTAAAGCTGCAGATGTTTGACTTTTTGATAATAATTTGAACATTTAAAGTGTCTGTTTTACTTTATGCTACTTTTCTAAAAGGAAACAACTTCAATCCTAAACTAGATACAGCACAGTGGTAACATAATGACCTAATGGGTCTGGGGGGGTGGGGGGCACTGATTGGTGGGCCTGATGGACAGAGCTTCATCAGAGCTAAACAACAAAAGAAATCTGAAGCTCCTATGTTGAACAGTGTCTGAGTTATAAGCATTTTTYCATGTCCAGACACCCCCTCTTTGAAAGGAGCCCCCTCCTCAAATGTGGGGTCTATCGTAAAACCGTTGGCTGGTGCAGTGTAGGTCAGACTCATCTACAGTCCTGCCAAATTTCATGTTGATCGGTGCAGCCGTTTTTGTGCTACGGTTGACCAAAAATCACTGAAAAAAATAAATAAACAGTACAAAAACAAAATGACTCCTGCTTACGCTTCGTGTGCGGGGGTCAGAATTACCACAGAATTATTTTTAAGGATTTCCGCAGTGGGGCTGTCAACTCTTACAAACTCTCACTTTTATTTCCAGGCAGACATTAAAAGAGCTCAGGGGTAAAAAAAAACAACAAAAAACCAAATAATTTATTAAATGCAAAAAGTGCTGATGAGGCAGCAAAACAAACTGAGAACAACAAGGGCAAAAGAGAAGCAAGGATCCAGTGAGTAAGTGGAGGAAAGAGACCGATTAAATAAGGCAAGGCTGAGAGGAAAATGGAGGTGAGCACACCTGGGTGATTGCAGAGCACAGACAGGTGTGAGAGAGTGATCAGGAGAAGACAGAGCTGAGGAAAAGATGAAAATACAAACAGAAGACAAACACAAGAGGGAGACAGAAGCAAAAGAGACAAACTATGACATATATCAATATTTACAAACCTGAATATTAATAAAAATAAAGCTTTACAACCAAAATTCACCTTGAATGAAACCATTCAGAAACACCATTAAAGCAAACCGAAATTTAAAGGTTCRGGAGAAAATGAAATGGTTTAAAGTGAACGAAACTTTGCAGCCGTCTGTTTTTTCACCAAGTTTCAGGCACAGATAAGATTCCTCCACCAAGTTCCTCTCAGAGACCATGGACGTTGATCTTAAAGGAGGACCTCAGCTGCTGTTTTCAGCTGGAAGAAAGTTTGTTCAGCGTTTTCAGTCATCAGGAAAATTTTAAATCGTTCCTGATAGAAACTCAAACTGGGTGCAGGGAGGCTAAAACTGATGGAACCTGGTCCTGTTGGTTGGTTCGTGTTAAAAACTGGCTCTTCATTTCTGTTCAATCTGGACTCAACACCGCGGCAAATAAAACTTCTCTTTAAGTAGTCGAGGTCACTTCAGGGCTTCCACTAACCTCGGTATTGTGTTTTATTAATCTTATTGTAAACTGGTACTGGTAAACTGGAACCAGTTTAGAGACATGATGCTTAAAGCTAAAGCTCCTCTGAACAGATTTTTTTTTTGCAACAGCTGACGTTAGTTTCACCAAAGCACCAACTGATGGCTCTTTTAGTTTTGCTTTCACCTGGAAGCTAGCAGTAGAAATGATTTTCTTTCCCAGATTTGGTTTCAGGTTTTCTGACATCATTAGATGTTTTGACAGTGAAGCAGTGAACTGGTAATAACATGAGCGATGTGAGGATAAAGTTGCAATTGTTCATTCAGTTCATGTTATCAGTGCTTCCTGCAGATGTTCAGCAGTTGGTGTTGATTCCAGAAGATGTTACTAAAGAAGGGGAGCCTGGTGTGGACCAGCAGAATCCAGAGCCCCTCCACATAAAGAGGAGGAACTCTGTACCAGTTTGAAGCTCAATGTGAAAGAGGAGACTGATGCCACCAGGTTTCCCTCCAGTGCAGTTCCTTTGAAGAGTGATGGTGATGATGACGATGATGATGATGATGATGATGAAGCAGAAGACAGAAGCAGCCACTGGTGGAGCAGCAGAAACTAGAAGCAACCAAGATCAGAATACTCATGAAGATGATTTAGACTCTTCAGAGACTGAAAGTCAGTGATGAAGAAGAAGAGAAACCTCAGTTGTCACAGCTTCATCAACACCAGGTGGAAGAAAAAGATCCTCAAACCAGCAGCTTATCTGACCAGATGGAAACAGTGACTGATGAAGAAGATTACAAAGGAACAGAGACCAGCTTGACCTCACATCTGAGTACAGATGAAGACAATTCCAACTCTTCAGAGAATGAAGTCAATAAAAGGACAACGAAGACAACAATGACGATGACAACGATGATGATGATGATGATGATGATGATGATGATGATGGGAACAATCTTAATTCTCAGCTAAAACCTAAACCAGATTTTGGGTCAAATATTGAAAACAGCTACAAAGAAGGGCAGACAAGAGCAAGTCAAGTGAGTGWGGTCAGCTGTTTCTCAACAGAGACGTATGAAAAGTGAGTCAAGAAGGAAGTCTTAAAGTTGTTCAGTTACTAAGAAATGTGTAAAAGTGGGAACAAAAGCACAGTCACACAGTAAAGTCCAGACAATGCAAAAGATTTAGCAGCAAATCAAATCGAAACGTCCATTCAAGAAGCCACAGAGGGGAGAAACACTTTGGTTGTGATCTTTGTGGACATAGATTTAGCCAAAAAACAAGCCTAAACACACACATGAAGATCCACACAAGAGAGAAACAATTTGCTTTTGATGTATGTGAACAAAGATTTAACTAAAAAACACAGCTAAACACACACGTGGAAATTCACACAGGAGAGAAACCATTTGCTTGCGATGTATGTGAACAAAGATTTAGCTCCAAAACAAACCTCAACAAACACATGAGAATCCACACATGAAACAAAGCAGTGATTTTCAATGACTTCTAAAACCTTTTTGTCTGGTACTAAGCACTGAGAAGTTGTATTTGTATCCACTCTGAAGGGTTTTTCACATTTGTTGCAATCCAGCCATCTTCTACAAGGTCGTTCTGGACCACAATTCACCAAACTGGATCACTTGTCATCATACCACTTGTCAATATACTGGATGACCACCTACATGGGAGTAACTATACTATACTAATTCAAATATTTACTTGCATATGATTGAAATATTGTGTCGCAGGGTATGAATCATCATTTCTCCCTCTGCACTCCCACTGTATAATATGTTGTGCATAGCTAAGCATTTAAACTAAAACAGTAGTTTTTGTCCTCGTTTTAACTGTGGAATAAAAAGGCGACTTGAAAAAATTTAATAAATGGATAAACATAAAAAAACAGCTTTCTATTGTTAACTAGTAAATTTTTGATTGTGTTGAACCAATCTTGTGAACAAAAATGTTCTTCGGCTTTTTGAATACAACAGCACAAAAAAAGGTTCGAGCTAAGCACAGTCTCTGAAGCAGCTCTTAATCTTCTTTAGTGGAAATGTTCCATGTCTTTAATAACAACAAAACTGAAGAGGGGTAAGGAAGAATGAAAGCTTGATAAAAGATACAGTTTTCAGTTTATAACAAGGACTTACAGTTGTGAATCACTCTGCACATAATGCATCAGCAGCACCACTGTCTGGTCGACCAACACGGGAATTCGGGAACAGAGACGAGTGGCCTCTGTGACAATACAACACTTCTGCAGCGAGGACATTACGCTGATGCAAGAGAAAGGACATTTTTGAAATAAACAGCATCTGTGTTGTATTGATGGGTGCACCGAGGTAAAAATAAATGAATAGGTAAAAACCAGCCCCCTGTGACCATTTCCACTTAGTCACATTACAACTTGTAGTCAATGGCACATGAAACAAGTCGTGCGTGACTCCGTTTCATTTACAACCATCTTTATGGGAAATCATTACAGGACCTGTTTGTTTGCCGTTCTGAAATGTTTCATGCAATGATCATTTACCAGCCTGCTGACTA